ATGTCATTTCAATGGAGGATATAAGTTCGCGTGCACTACTTACCCACCATCCGCGTCCCAGTCATAACACTCTATCTTGATTGTTCTGTAAAAATTTTTAATACTTTTTTTTCATTTTTTCAGTCAAGTTTTCGAAATGCAGTCATTATAACAATTTAGTTATATATGTCATATTTACCCAGTGACTCTGTAAAATATCATTATTTTACACTACGTTTATAGAGCATCAATTTGAAAACATTATCAACATAAAGAGTGTATTGTATTCAAAGAAAATTTGATAATAGTGCATGAATATTATTGCTTATGCATATATCGTAGTTTCTCAGTTTTTAAACAACGAAATGCATTTTTGTCAACATTTTCCATTTTTATACTAATATTTGAATACTATTACTGACCTGTCATAATCCCCATTACACAGTGATCGCACGGGAATTGAAAAAGGTTTCCATGTTGGGTTGAGGGTTTTCTTTATAACTTCAGTTCTGTGAACCACTGTGTATCTGAATATTAAAAAAACATTCGTTCATTATCTGTGTTAAAATATTTACAAAATATGATTCTGAAAATCCTTGGGAGATATTTGTCTTGTTTATAACTTGTCCATCCCTGCCATTTCACTCTAAGCATGTTTTACTGTAGTATGTACGGTACCTCTCACTTACATACTTTATCTTACAGTCTTAGTCCGTCACCACATAAAGTCTATTGAAGCAGTGACTCAGGTGAGGCAGAGCAATATAGCCAACTGGTCTCTTGCTTCTTATTTCACTTAACATCAAGCTTCTATTGCATACAGTTTACGGGAATTACAGTTGATAACAAAAGTAATTTGATTGGATGATAACAAATGCTTTCAATAAAGCAGCAAATCAGAATTGCCGACTTATTTGCACATTATTTTATTTTTTTGGTGCACTTGCATTTAATAAAAATAAAATCAACAACAGGGACCTTTATTTTTATTTGGTTTTAGCAAAAATTGCAGTCGGCGCTCCCGTAATCCATTTTATTTAAAAAAATGTTGGCCTAAATAACTGCAGATATGAGTACACTAAACAATTACCATAAATTGATTTATAGGGCATTCAATATGAAAGCTGATAAGGGCAGACATGAAGCCATTTTTTAGTTTAAACTATTGGAATTTGCCACCTTAAAATTGAATAATTGTAAAATTAACAATTGGAAATAATTCTAAAACAGTCTTTTTAATTGAATTGAATCCACCTCTTCACTTCAAAATTAATGACGGCCCTGCTGGCTTCTTTATTATACTTACGAACCATCCTCATTAGTTTTGTAGAAAGTTAAAAATGGATCTGATTTTCCAAAGAAATCTTTCTTGTCCAATTTGTGGGCACAGAACTGCAAAGTTGCTTGTTCCTAAAATGGAAATTATCAACATGCATATTTACATAAATGACCTTGACTTTTCATTTTTATGTGACTTTAAATAGTTAACAGCAACTGAAACACTAATTATAATGTACTGTATTAAGTTGGTGACTTAAAATTTTAAACAAGATGTTGCCCCTGGCTAATTGACATTTCTGACTTCATCACAAAAGAGTTCCATTATAACTACAATATCAAATATTGCTATACCTTACAACTGCTCTGCTCCTCGGCTCCAACTATAATCACTCCACTGTCTTTCTTTGGTCCTCTATGAATATTAAAATGTTAAAATCAACAACAGTAGATTATACTATTACAATAAATTCAATTTTTTGTATAGACATTTAGAAATTCTTTTCAGATGTCTGAAAGTGGAGGTATAATTTTAATATCTCTTTTTAAAACTTGTGTATTATCTATTTATTATAATACTTAATGCAATTTAAATAAACATGCGCAATGTAAAATCATATACATGTACCTCAAATCTATTATATACATGTACAGTGTATTAGTTTTGCATACAATGTTATTATAGAAACAGATAAGTCATAAATAAAACAGGTGTAATGTACAATGTAAAACACACTGACTTGATAATTTAAGAGGAACCAGATATTCATTCAGAAAGCTTCACTACTCACACGAGTCTTCTCATGAATTTACTTCCTGCTGACACAATCTCTCCCAGGGTACACTCCATTCTCCCCAGGAAGTCCTTCAGGAAAAAAATAAAGAAATGATTAATTAAGACCTAAATGTAACAGTAACAAGAACAGAGAAATAAAGAAATGCTGAATTAAGACCTACACGTAACACTCACAAGAGCAGAGAATACCTACATGTACGAGGGTTGATCCAAAAGTAATGTCACAACTTCGATAAAATCGCTATCCGTCGACGTAAAACAACAAAATTATAAATGATGCAAGCTACATTTATTTCGAATGAGACCTGAAAATTTCAATTCAACATGATTTATACTTTTCAAAATATCGGATTAGATACAACGTGCGATTATGGTAGTCGCCGCAGCTAAATAACGTCATATAACGGATACGCGCCATCATACATTTAAACGCTTCCCTTCGTTTCATTAGAAAATATTTGAGATTTGAGATCCAAGAACACGTTCACAAATTTCACTTTCTTACCCTTAGTACCCATCGTACACTCACTCTTTTAATAATTAATTCTGTCAAAATTCATTGAACAGTAGTAAAAGACCAACTTAAAATTTCACATATCGCTCTATCCGTCTGTTTTTTTCGACAACGTCACGCACCATAAATGAACATTTCCGTCCGCCCTCCCATCTTTCGATTTTCTTGTCATCTGCTGAGCATTTAATGACCCATCACCCACCGAAAATCGCTGAAACCATCTAAACAAGTCTCTTATTTACATTCTTTCCTCCGAAAGTCTCACTGGTGAATCAACGTAACTGTCTCTACTGGCGATTTCTCCATTTTGAAGTAAAAATGCATTACAGTTTGTTTTGGCTTTTTTGTCCATTTTGAAATTTCCATTTTTCAATGCACCGAAATAAATCAACGATGTTTTTCATAAAAAATAGCAGTGATGTCATGTAATTTTGAATTCAAGACTTGAAAATGATGTAAATTTTTGTCTTTTAAAGTATTTTACGTTTACGCGCTTTTAAAAGATGCCTTTTAAAAGTTTGTCTTTTTTATACTAAAAAAAGTACACTTTAATTTGTGACGTTTGGTTTTGACGCGGCGACACCCCCTATCTTATATGTTTTAAACATCTATAAAATAAATTCAGTTAAATATTATTGAATGAAAAATCAACGATTAATTAAATTTATATTTGTGCATCTTTTGGTATATAATATTTGATGATATGACGCCAAATATAAAAGATATAGACACTGTGACATTACTTTTGGATCAAACCTCGTATTTTAAAGTCATGGATATACGAGTTCTAATATAAGTTAATTATATATACATGTAAGTTCCTTTTTGGTTTGATTAATAAAACCACTCTGCAATTGCAAAGTGCAAATAGGAATTTTAAGAACAACAATTAAAATTATTATTTTGTAGAAATCTTTTTTATTTTGTTTACCCAGAAATCATGATACAGTTCAGACCTACATGTACATGTATTTATCTGCACACCTATTATGTGTCTGAATGATAACATCATTTTGGGTATACATTAAAGACACAAAAATATTTTGATAGTAGTAAAATGTCCAATTAGTTAAATATATGCACTATGGTCTACTTGAGTACAACTGTAAGTGAGTATAATTGTAAAATGTCCAGTTAGTTAAAGATATATGCACTATGGTCTACTTGTGTACAACTGTAAGTGAGTATAATTTAATGCGTAATGAAAATTTACTTGCTTTCTAGAAAGACAGTGAATAACAAGTGAGCTTTATTCATATCCAAATAATATAACTACATGCCATTATATCCTCTAATACATTTTGCTCACTCTTTCTCTCTTTAAGTGTTTTAACTTACATGCTTAGATAAATCTGCACTCTTTGAATCCACATCATAGCTGTATAAATGAATGAGACTGTATCAACATGGTTAAAAGATGATTCAATTTTATTTTTAATGCTTTTTCAGACTTGCATTACTTTTAATTCAGAGAATGTCTCAGCCTTTTCTCAGTCATTGCATAATACGCTGCAATAATTTATCTTTACTATGCATTTAAAATGCAAAATAAACTATGACTTACACTTCAAACTTCAATTTCTGGCTTTGTTCAAAATAGTAATGCATCACAAATTTCTTGACAAAATCTGGATTAAGGTTGTTCCATATGATTTCAGTTCGCCCAAACTGAAAAAAAGAAAAAGATTTAAGTCACATGCTCATATATCAAAGCAAAGCGTTTTAATTAATGGACTGATAATAAAAAAAATAACATGTTTACTTTTTCAAAATGTTAGCTTGAGTTGTAGCTTTTGTTTACATTCATCTTAAAACAAAAGTATGAGGTGCATTTTTAAAAAAAAAAAAACCAAGAGGCCCAGGGGCCACAGGGCTCACCTGAGCACATCGGGCTTGAATTTACGCCCCCCGCCCCCCCCCCTCCTCCAGGCGGTCATCATTTGAACAAACTAGAATCTACACTACCTGAGGATGATTCCGTATAAATATCACTAATCATAGCTTTGAAGTACTTGAAAAGAAGATTTTAAAAGGTTTCCCTATATATCCTTATGTAAAACTTGGGTCGGCCATTTTGGCCCCACCCTAGCCCCGGGGGTCATGATTTGAACAAATTTGAATCTGCACTACCTGAGGATGATTCCACATGAGTTTCATCTTTCCTGGCCCAGTGGTTCTGGAGAAGAAGATTTTTTAAAGATTTTTCTTATATATTCCTATGTAAAACTTGGGTCGGCCATTTTGGCCCCACCCTAGCCCCGGGGGTCATGATTTGAACAAACTTGAATCTGCGCTACCTGAGGATGATTCCACATGAGTTTCATCTTTCCTGGCCCAGTGGTTCTGAAGAAGAAGATTTTTAAAGATTTTTCCTATATATTCCTATGTGAAACTTGGGTCGGCCATTTTGGCCTCACCCTTGCCCCGGGGGTC